GCCTGTGCTGAAGCCCATATAGTGTTACTCAAGCTAGCATGGGTATGCCTAGCTATGGTACAATCACATCTTCACTTGCAGTGTAGACACACTCACTGATACAGACTGCTGCTGCTGCCATCCCATGGTTTCCTCTGGGCAAAGTCAGGTGGTGGAGATCTGGGTATCGTGGAAGTGAAAAAATTGGTAATGTGGCTCATTGCATTCAGGGAGTCCCTAAACAGGACAGTTAGGTGATCCCCAAATACAGGACACAAGGTGAAATTCACCCAGAGGTTTATACACCAATTCAGTGCCACATAAGCCCTCAACATGGAGATTAAGAGGGGCTGGCTCTTTGCATGGGAGTGAATTTCATCCTCAACGCACCACTCAGGCCTACAACGAGGAGCTGAAGAGAATCACTGCTGCAGAGAGCTCAACCTGCGGCAGGACTGTTAGTTCCTTTGCCATACGTAACATTGTCCATAAGCTCCAGTCATGAGTCTGCACATTTCTGATGTTGATATTTTCAGCAATAAAAGTGCAGCGTCGCCATATTTGTGAAAGAGATGAACATCAATTTGAGTCTAAAGTGAGAGAGAAAGGGAAGGTCAAGAAAGAGGAGTCCCAGAGGTGACTGGCGGTGGGTTCAGTTGGGTTTGCAAATCGTTCTGTAAAAATGGTCTCTTCCTTTTTTGGTATGTATTTTCTTTTACAGGGAATTTACGTTTGTGAAAGGTACCAGACTGGCAGCCCTGGGCACCTATCTTTGGACCTGACTCAGCAAAGTGCTTAAAGTATATGCCACTCTAAACATCCACAATGAATACCAAACCATTGACTTCAATACTTAAGTAGCTTGCTGAATCCCGAATCCTTCATGTATAGAACAAGCACACCATTGGCAACAGCAGAACACCGCTTCACCAATGGACTACCTCTAGGGGGGGGAAGATAGGTAGGTCTCCACTGTACACTCAGTAGTTACCCTCTCTGCAGTGACTGTCAACAAGTGTGACGGTTAGTGGTTATTTTTGTGATTTATGCTGTTATGTCTGTTAGAAAATGAACTGAGCCTTATTCCACAAGGATAATTGGGGCAAAGATTGTGTCTTGCTATTTGTGCAGTGCCTACCACAATGGGGGCCTGATCTCTGGGAGGGTTTCTAGACTTTACTGTCATATGACTAATAAATAACTCCCATCCCTTGCTAACTACAGGCTATATTTGAACCAGTAAGCTGGAGGGGAAAGACTCTATAGATCACTCCTATTTCTGTGAGCTACCCAGGCCCATGTTGGCTATATCTATATGCACTGATCTCATTTTAATCACGGGTGATCCTGTAAAATGGAATGGGGGAATCCTCATTGGCAGATGTGTAAAATCTGGGGGAGAAGGGAAGCAAAGGTTACCAATTTGCTGCCCCTTACCACCACCACTGCCTCTTGTAGACGGTGATTTTTCAGAGCATTCCGAGACTAGAAAAACTGCATTACATACAAATCAGAAATACTGTTGATCAGAATTACTGATTGCTTGTCTATCCAGCAAGAGCCAGGAATTTTTTTTAATACCCAAAACCACCCAGCGATCTGACACAGATTGCGTTTGGAATATACAAACATTAGGGACCTATACGGCTTATACATGTAACAGTGAAGCATGATTTAATTAAATGAGCACTGGGCAGGAAGCCAGGAAAGTCTGCATTCTAATTCTGGCTATGCCACTGACTCATTGTGTGTCCTTGAGACAATCATATAACATCTCCATCCCCCAGTCAGTAAAATGGGGCTGGAAATGCTTTTCTACAAGGGGGAGAGTCAGGGCTTGATTTTCAGAGATGCTCCACACTCACAACTGCAGGGGGCAGGCAAATGGTGAACTGATAATAATAATCCCGAGCTCTAATATAGAGCTTTACATCAGTAGATCTCAAAGAGCTTTACAAAGGAGGTCAGTATCATTATCTCCATTTCACAGGTGGGGAAACTGAGGCACGGAGAAGTGACGTGGCTTGTCCAAGGTCAGCTAACAGGCCAAGGGCCAATCCACTCTGTCAGTTCTTTTGAGTCCCAGTCCAGTTATCTATCCACTAGGCCACACTGTCTCCCCTACGACTTTTGTTTTTATGCTAAATTCTGTCCATTGTATTGTTATCTCATCCTCCTAAGCCATCTCTACCCCATTGGCCACCTAGTGTGACCTCTCTGATACCGAGAGTATACACTCTCTGAGACAGGACTGTCTTCTTTGTTGTTTGTTTGTACAGTGCCTAGCGCAAGGGCCCTTTATCCTTGATTGGGGTTCTGTGGCAATAGAAATAAACAATAGCAGTAATAAGCACCAAATAGGTCCAGGTGAGCGCTGGATGCTCAGTGCTTCTGAAAATAAGGACATGGATGTTTGTCCAGAGCTTTGGAAGTACAAAGAGCTAAGAATCATGATTGATTATTATCCCTCATTATGAAATGTTTGCTATACCCTAAAATGATTTGTTTAACCCATTCCAGGTTTATGAATCAAATGCTTTTTCCAGCTGGATTTCATGCATAAGAAGGATCAGCAGCAAGCATTGGCAATGCACCCTCTCCATCGTCTCCCCGACACCAGCACACGCTAACGCGCAATGTTCTACGAGTAACAGAAGAAGGAGGAGAGCAAACAACAACATCCCAGCAAAAGAAGGAGGGGGCCCCTGCATCAAATTCCAGTCTGTTTTATAAATAAATATGGCACGGGTGCCAGCTTTGTTGGTATGGATCCCAGTGATTTTCTTCTGACATATGTTAGTTCCTCTGTTTGAGCCAAAAGACTTAGTAAGCAAATATTTAGCAAGCATTTGGAACATGTGACTTGGGCTATCTCTAGGCGATTACTTATTTATCTAATAAAGGATATCAACTCTCATGCTTCAGGGCATAAGCCAGCCTCTAACGGATGGGAGCTCGGAAGAAAACTTCCTCTAAGGGCAGTTTATTCCATAATCGCCCACTACAACATTTGTTGCATTTTCTTTTGAATCATATTGTTCTGGCCACTGTCAGTGACCAGATATTGGATTAGACAGACTACTGGTGAGATGCATTATGACAATTCCTGTTTTCCTGTGATACAGGCACAGACACACCCCTGGAAACGGAGGGGGAGAAAGCGAGAGAGCCCTAGAATCAGGGAGAGACAAGGAGTGCTGAGAAACAGAGACATGGGGACATCGCCCCAGAGAGAGGGTCTTGCACAGAGAACACCATGGTGCATGAAGAATCTATCCTAGAGGGGCCCAATCAGTTAAATGGTCAGTAAGTGGCAAAGTGTTTTTAGTTGCAAGGATTGTCACATGCCAGGAGATATAAACTGGTCGATTTTATCAGGAAAATCCATGTTTTCATTACAGCGTGAGCAGCATCCATTTAAATTTCAGAGTTCTGAAGAACAGCCTCTCATTGACCATTTGTTCCTGCTCCATCCAGGGTAGCTCCAGCAATAGCCCCATGAAACCACAGGTGGATTGGAGAATCTAGGCTTGACTCAGGCCTCACTTAGGGCCTGATCCGAAGCCCGTTGGAGTTAGTGGAACAACGTCTGTTGATGTCATTAGGCTTTGGATCAGGCCCTTACACTGTTTTTTCTCCCCTGATTTTAGCAGAAGTACTTCTGATTTGCACAGGTATTAAGAGAGAAAAACCAGCCCTTCCATAGATCTCTGCTGCCTTGGAGACTCTTTAGTCCAAAAGGAAACACAGGGACGTTGAGGTAACATCGTCAGTGACACTAAACTTCCTTTCAACTTCCATACTATTTTATTTATATTACAGTTCCACCTAGACACATAGAGACGCATCGTAAGAGGCCTTCCCTGCCCTGATGAGCTTGCAGTCGAAATAGTCAAGACATGCAAAAGGTGGGAAGGGAAATAGAAGCAGGGGTGCCAGAACAATTTGTATAGTGGGGGGGTGCTGAGAGCCATAGAACCAAACTGTAAACCCTGGATAGAATGGAAACCACTTCAAGCCAAGGGGGTGGCCACACCCCCAGCACCCCGAGTTCCAGCACCTATGAATAGAAGCACAGACAGGTGAAGCGACTTGCCTAAGATCAAACAGCAGGGCCATGGCAGAGCTGGGACTAGCATCCAGGCCCCCTAACTCCCAGGCAGGCAGCCTATTAAGTGGGTCACCATTTTGGGCGTCAGGAGAAATGGGTTCTACTCGCAGCTGTACCACTGATCTGCTGTGTGATTGTGGGCAAGTCGCTTCCCCTCCCTGTGTCTATTTCCCTTCCTATCCTTTGTCTGGTTTGCCCTGTAAGCTCTTCAGGGCAGGGACGGCCTGGTTCTACAGTACCCAGCACAGAAGGGCTCCAATCTTGGCTGCGGCCTCTAGGTGCTACTGGAATAGAAATAATTTCTGCTGATGGAGAGGACACCTTGGATCTCACGTGTGCCCCACAATCCTCTGCTTTGCCCGCTGAGGTGCCTCCTTAGAGTAGCCACTGCATCCCACGCAAAGGATTCGGCAGCTGACCGAGCAGAAGTCAGGAGACAAAGAACACGGGCAGGGCGGCATGGGTTTTCAGAAGAAAGCAGGGAACGGTGTGGTGAGGGAAGGAGGGAAGATCTTATTTTTTGCCAAACTTCCTGGTCTCAGGACAGTCTCAGAGGAGGCCAATAATGGCCGACACATCCTGCTTGGGAGGATTTATAGCACTTTTATTTTAAAAGGCTAAGGGTGAGTGTTGGCAGCGGGGGGAGGAGAAATGTAATAAAGGAATGTTTGGGTTTTTTTTTTCCTGATAGATTGCTATGAAAAAAACTCACCCTTGGGATAGAAGGGTGATCCTCGATTTCAAGGGCAATATTTGTCTGCTATTACTTTCTCAACCAGCCTGCCTTCTTGCTTATCTTATCTGTCCAGATGCCATGGTCAGAAGAGGTACATTATTGAACCATAGGTACATTAGCTCTATCGGTCGCATCTCCTCTGGCTACACAGATGTGTGAATGCTACAGAGAGAGACGGGCCATTTTGACACACAAATGAGTGTCAGCTGTTTGTCCCCTTGCAGCTGCTGAGCGAAATGCTCCCCAACAAAGCAGAGAGAAATGATGCAAACTGAGGACTTGCTCCATGTCCTTAAGAGATGGGGACGGGGGGAGAAGGTGCTGAGAAAGACAGTGGTGTGTGTACAGGGTGATTGTCATGGTTACCTCTCTCTCTCTGACAAAACAAATGGCACCACTTAATGATGGTCACCCAAACAGCTATGGAAAAGTGTGTGTTAATCAACTGGCTGCCAGCGGAGCTGGGTCCCTGCTATGTGAAGCAGAAGCCTTCCCAGGATCACAGACAGCCCCCAGGAGCTGGAGGGGAACGGTAGAGCTTTCGCAGAGGGACACATGTTGCTGCAGCTTGCAGGGTAAGGCAGCCGCGACATCCAGACGGTGGGGTGGGGAGGTAGCAATGGAGCCAGGACCCCCCTGGGAGCATGGGCAGGATGCGCACTGGGGCGGGGGGAAGCTCGCTGGGATAGCTAAATGCCACATGTTGCTGAGGTTTCTCCGTGCGCAGAGCTCGCCTCCCCCCCGCACCCCATGCCTGTCTGTCTCCTGATCGGTCTGTCTCTCTGTCTTCCAGAGACAAAAGGAGGCTGAAGCGGTGCTTGCTGCCGCCTCCCGGCTTGTCCGGGCTTTCTGGGCAGCCGCTCGCCCCAGCAGCCGGGCTCGGACCATGGCAGGAGCCGGCAGGCGCGTGTGAAGTTGATCCCGGCCTCCCCACCCCTCCTCCCGCCAGCCAAGGTAAGAGAAGCAGCCGGCTACTTTCCGCGCCCGCTCCCGGAGCGCGCTGGCCGCTCCGCAGGCGCGAGGGGGGGAGCGTGGGCGCATTTCCCAGGCGCTGCCTCGTCGCAGCGCGCAGCGCAGCGCCGTGCTGTTCAAAATCCCGGTCACACTATTTCTGCGCGCACGAGCCCAGCCTGGCAAAGTGCCGCTCTCCTGCCTCTCCCCGCTGCAGGGCACGGACGTGCTCCCAGCCCCCGGGCCGGGGGCAGAACAGGCAGGGGCCGGTGACAGCCGCCGGGGGTGGGGTAAGAAAAGCCCAACGACCTCTTCGCTTCGCCTTCTGCCCGCTCGCTGGGCGGAGAATGAACTTCACTAGCCCTTGCTGGGGTGTGTGTATGTGTGTGTGGTGGGGGGGTTAGATTCACTAGCCCCTGCT